CACTCTCTTGGTAATCTCATGTAAGTATTTGGAGATGCTTTAAATGCCCTCTACACACTGACTCCCATGTTCTTATCTCTAGCCTGAATCAATCCTTTGGACTCCAGATAAGAATACTCAACTGCCTACCTGTCATCTCCACTGGGATAACTCCCAGGTGTCTCAAACTCATCTGTCCACAAATACATTCCTGCTCTTCACCCACACATCTGTGCTACCTGCAGGTTTCTCCATCTCAACTGCACAGATAAAAATGTCTAGAAGTCAATCCTGATGCCTCACTCTCTCATATGCTGTATCCAATCCATCAGCAAATCTTGTTAGTTTTCCCTCCAAGGTAAGTACAGATTCTACCCAGTTCTCACTATTCCAACTACTGGCACACGGTTACAAGCCACTTGCACTTCTCACCTGAGCTTCTGCAAAAGGCCTCCTCACTGATCTGTTTCCACCCGTGCTCTCTCCCCTACACACAAGTCAGATCCCACCACTTCTCTGCTCAAAGCTCCCCATCTGACTAGAGGCCACAGTCCCAATTGGCAGCACCATCACTCACATCCCCTTTCTCTTCCTCAGCAGCACTGTGCTGTCATGCTGTCCTGGAGCCCTGACTGACTCTGCCTCCCAGGTGTTCACCAGGCTCGCTCCCACACCGCTGAGCCTTTGCTTAGGTGTTGTCTTGATGAAATCCTCTCCACACTTCAAAATGCCAACACTGCCCCCTCCCCCAGCTCCCATTCTCTCCATGGAATCTAGCTTCTGACCAACCAGATAGTTTACTAAGTGTCTCTCTCCTTCCACCAGAATTTAAGTTCCACAGGGCAGGGAGATTATGTCTGTTTTACTTACATTCTTTTTTTTTTTTTTTTTTGAGTTGGAGTCTCACTCCGTTGCCCAGGTTGGAGTGCAGTGGCACGCTCATGGCCATCCCAGCATCGACCTGCTGGGCTCAGGTGATTCTTCTGTCTCAACCTTCCAAGTAGCCAGAACTATAGGTGCGTGCTACCGTGCCCGGCTAATTTTTTAATTTATTGTGGAGATGAGGTCTTTCCAAGTTGCCCAGGCTGTTCTCAAACCCGTGGCTCAGGCAATCCCCTCACCTCGGCCTCCCAAAGTGCTGGGATTATAGGCTTGAGCCACCGCACCTGGCCTCCAGCCACATTCTTAGCACTTAGAAAAAGAGTAAGGATCATTGCAGGGTGTGCACATGAATTATTCTAGAAAACACAAGAGGTTGCAAAAAGTAGAATGGGAAAGAAGACATAATCACTTCTAAAATGTATATGTACTTATGTTGTATTAGTGTAAGCTTAGTTGTTTTTTAATTTTTTTGGTTTTATAATGAAGGGGGAAAAGGAATTCAAGCAAGGAAAAGAAACTGTGCTGACTTTGGACTTGGCACCTTCAGCATCGAATCTCATTAAGATTTCAGTATACGCTCTTCTCCAAAGCATCCTCTGGCTTAAAGAAACATGGGAATCCTCGGGGTGGGTAACTCTTCAGACAGCCTGAGGAACTGAATGAACTCTAGATACAGGTGTTGAACGCTGGTAGTGACCATAACACTTGCTCAAATTTTGTTAAGAACAGCCCTAAAGTCCTGTAGCCAGCTTTGTGGCCACAGACACTCAGTCTGGTCTGATAGTTCTCATTAAGCTAAAGTCTAGGGAGCAGCCTGGCTACCCTAACCAGCACCAGAGGACACCCTGGTATTACAAGCCCTGGGTCCTACTTTGGAGCTTCATTCACTTAATGAATTCCAAGGACAGTCACTTCATTTCCTTACTTCAGTGGTTGAAGGTAAGTGCTACCATCAGGAGTGACACTTTGCTACGTGACATTTGCCTAAGATGTCACCTATGGTTCAAGTACAGTTGCAAGTAGCTTAAAGCTTCTGGTGATACTGCTGTTCCTGCCTTGCTGGTACCGTTAGATACCACTCTGCCTACCAAGGTATAAAACTGACTCCAATGAAATACAATAAGGAAGAAATTAAATCTGCTTCTGTAACAAAACAACCTATTATTCCCATCTTAACCATGTATTTTTATAACATGGGAACTGCTGCCACCTGCTGGTAATGCTTATGACAAAGTTAATACTTGGGAGACCCAAATTCCAGTCAAAATTTTGAAGTTCCCTTTCACAGCAAGTAGTCATATGAATAGCTTTATGATGAACTAGTTTGACTAACTCTCGCTACTCTTGACAAAAAACTAAATACTGAGGAACTTCTAATGTAAACTAGAACACTCTACTACCAAAAAAAAAGTGACCTTGTTGACAATGCCACAGGTTTGGGAACATGGCTTCTGAGCCTGTCCTATGTTTGCCAGCTCAACCAGAAGGGATGCGTCCATGCAACACACTTAATATTTAGTAGAGGCCAGGCTAGGTGGCTCAGTCTGTAATCCCAGCACTTTGGGAGGCCGAGGCGAGAGGATTGCCTGAGCCCACAGGTTAGAAACCTACCCGGGGAACTTGATGAGACCTCATCGCTGCAATAAATCAAAAATTAGTGGGGTGTGGTAGCACACACCTGTAGTTCCGGCTGCCTGGAAGGCTGAGGCAGAAGGACTGCAAGAGCCCAGCAGGTCGAGGCTGCAATGGCCGGGAGCGTGCCACTGCCCTCCAGCCTGGGTGACAGAGTGAGACTCAAACTAAAAAAAAAAGAAAAAAAAAAATTCAGTATAGATCTCAGGCTAATCCTCTCACACCAGTGCAAAGCCTTGTGGGTCCAGCTGACTCAGAATAGTCTGTCTGATCAACTTGTACAGTGTTTATTTTTTTTCTTATTTTATTTTTGTTATGATAGAGACAGGATCTCATTATGTTGCCCAGGCTGATCTGGAACTGCTGGCCTCAAGTGATCCTCCCACCTGGGATTACAGGCATGAGCCACCACGTCTGACCTGATTTTTTCATGAAGCTGAGCAGGAAAATTACCAGAACAGGTAAACAGCCTAAAATTGCACACACAGCCAGAGAAGCATGCTGAGAAACAAATGATTAAAGCTACAAAGATACCTCAATCAAAAATAATTTCATTAATTTGCTGAGCCTGCTAGGGTTAAATAATCTGTTTCAAGAAAGATTTTTCAGTTCCTAATCAATTTAGGCAACTCAAGATATGAATGTTTATATAACACTAACAAAGAGAACAGATGAGACAACTGTGACAGCCAAGAGGAGCCTGAGGAGACACAATGATTAAATGTGATAATGTGGTAGCCTGAATGGGATCCTGGAACAGAGAAAGGACATTAGGAAAAAACTAAGGAAACTGAAATAAAGTATGGATGCCAGTGAATAATAATGTACAATATTGATTGGTTCATTAATATGACAAATGTGCCATACTAATGTAAAGATGTTAATAATAGAGGAAACTGAGTGTGAGGTATGTGGAAACTGTACTACCTTTGCAATTCTTCTGTAAATCTAAAATTTAAAGTTTCTTTTAAAAAATGAATGAGGCTGGTGGCTCAACCTGTAATCCCAGCACTTTGGGAGGCCAAGGTGAGTGGATTGCCTGAGCCTGCGGGTTTGAGACCAGCCTGTGCAACTTGGTGAGACCTTGTCTCTACAATAAATCAAAAAAAATTAGCCGGGCATGGTAGCATGTGCCTGTAGTTAGGGCTACTTGGAAGGCTGAAGTGGAAGGATCGCTGGAGCCCAGCAGGTCAACACTGGGGTGGCTGTGAGTATGCCACTGCACTCCAGCCTGGGTGACAGTGGGAGTCTCTAACTCAAAAAAAAAAAATGAAACAAGATACATCTCAATTCACAAAGGCAGGCCCTGAAGTTAGTTCAATGACAAGTCTGAAATGTCACAGAGTCTCTATTTTGACTTTAAAAAAAAGTTATTTGGTAGCTTTTTTTCATTTATCAGATCTAGACTCAAACATTTTATATATAAAAATCAAGAAACACAGCCTCTTCAAACTTCCACCAAAAAGGCCCAGGAGGCTCATGTCATTTTATGGCAAATCTCAGCTCACTTGTGAAAAAGGCTTTCATGAAATTAAGCTAGGTACAAAGCTCTTCATTCTATGACATACTTTCTTGACCCTGCAACCTTCCACAAACCCGTGTGTTTCACAGGGCATTTGGGGAGTTACCCAAATCTTTCCTTTTACTCAGAGACAAAAGTACTCTAGCAAAACTATGCCATCTTAAAATTAGCTCATAACTCAAGCCTCAAATAAGACTTTACAAGCTATATTGTCTTTGTTAAAATTAAGAATTTGTACCTAAGGAAGAAACACATACTCAGATGAACAAATAAGTCTTTGAGACTAAACACCAAATACCTGTGTTGTGTTTCAAACTCATAAGTGGAAAAAAAATCCTTCTATTTCTTTTTTTTTTGAGTTGGAGTCTCACTCTGTCACCCAGACTGGAGGGCAGTGGCACACTCCTGGCCACCGCAGCCTCGACCTGCTGGGCTCCGGCGATCGATCCTTCTGCCTCAGCCTTCCAAGTAGCTGGAATTACAGGTGCGCGCTACCACACCCGGCTAATTTTTGATTTATTGTAGAGATGAGGTCTCACCAAGTTGCCCGGGCGGGTCTCGAACCTGCGGGCTCAGGCAATTCACTCACCTCGGCCTCCCAAAGCACTGAGATTACAGGCTGATCTACCAAGCCTGGCTTAATACCGGGAAAAAAATATATGAATTGAACTCCTAATTCAATCCCAGAAGTCACCCTTCTGAGGTATACACTATATAACTAATTGTTTTAATTTCCATCTCTTACCTACAACTTATTGTTTAAATTAACATCAGTTTTTATACAAAATGTCCTGAGTGGAAGTCCATGAAAACTATCTAGCTTAAACAAAATATGGGCCCTAAGCCCTATGCTTGGTCATAGCCCAGGCAAAAGAAGAGGCGTTCCGTGCCTTTTTTCTTCTTACTTTAAGAATGTTATATGCCAAACAGTTTTAAAACACGATCAGTTGCCTTGGCAACAGAACAAATAGCAGCAATTCTGTTCTAATTATAAGATGAATTTTTAAATCATTTTTATTTTTAAGATTAAGCATCCTCATTGACAATCCAGAAACAGAGTCCTTACTGACTCTTTGGACATACACACCTAAAACAGTAAAAGTGGTTCCTCAATTTCAGTGACAAAGTAGGAAAAAAGAACATGTTCACAAGCTGCAGTTCAATTCTTCTGTCCTCTTTTCCAAAAAATCTTATTTTGCTACCAAGCCACTCACCAAACCATAAGGAAAGACAATTTTTCAAAAAATCAACAAAACCCAGAAACAGGGATCTAGGTATCAGTCCAAAATTATCATCCAAAACACTGCTGCTGCAACAAAAAGGTAGGAAGTCAAATTCCCAGAGCTTGTTAGAAAAGACCTTTAAAAAAAATTCAGAAAGTTGGGAATGGAACTACAGTGGTGTGGGCAGGTTCAAAATGCAGATAATTCAAGGACCTTCAGCTTGGGAATATATTAGGCTTTCTCCTATTCCAGCAGAGGAAATAAAAACATGCTACTGGAATATAAAAACTGTCCTCACCAACAGAAGATAGGACAAGGTTTAAAAGGAGAGCGTGTGGGACCAAAGGCTCTACAGAAAGTGGAATAGAACGGAAATTCTTCTGAGTCAGAATCACTAAAGTCTAGACCTGGCCTAAAACCAGTGGACTATATACACTAAATAAATATCAAGTGACCCACAGTTTTGAGGGTATTAAAAATATTTTTTAAATAATTATAAATTTCTATTCTGAAAAGCAGTAGATCAAAATGACACTGGACCATCCAGTCAGTTATAAAGTCAAGGACTCCCTCCAAAGAGAACTTGGCAGAAATTTAGGTTGGAAGGAATGTAACATGGACTAAACGAGAGGAGACCCTCAGTACAATTTTCATAAGGCTTTTGCCCACCCCAGCTGTGAGGAGTCGCACCGAGGGCGCTCCAGCAGAATGTCTCAGAGGGATGCACCTCAGAGACAAAAGGGCCTGTCAATTTAACTCTCGACCTCTCTTCTCCTTACCTAAAGCTTGGGGAAGAAAAGAAATACTTAATTTTTAACTATTCAGAACTTTGAGCACATAATAATATTTAATATTCTGTAGTTTCATTTTCTGAACCTTTGGCTTATACTTTTTCTCAATTTATGTTACATTAAAAAATATGTGAATGTGCCTTAATCAGTAGTACCACATGAAACTATAAACCTTGTTCTTCCTTATCTTCAACACATGAAGAGTGAACGAATGGTACCCTAAATATCCTGCAAGATTGTTTTGTGTACTCAACAAAAGATTAGGGCAAACCATCTCACTTCCATATCTTGAGCAGGAGTTAACTAGTCTTCAATCTCATCTTCCCAAATATCTCCATTAACATCCACAGCATGAAACAACCTGGAAGCATAAAATAAGGTACATTTTTATGCACTTGGATGAGACAGAATACAATTTACTTTTTCTTCTCTCAAAAACATTTTTTGTACTCTTCTGATAATATCTTTGTGTATCTTTTCTTCTCCTTTAATGGCTCCACTGAGGAAGGCTGAAATCTGGGTCCCTCTGAAAAAGCTGCCTTAAAGTTTATAAGAACAACCCTTAGGATCCAGACAAACTCTCCAGGGCCAAGGATAAACAACAGTGGGGGTATACAATATACAAGGATAAACCACCGATAGTGTATACAATATAAAGAGTAGGCCAAGACTAGGGAGGTTAGGCAACCTAGAAGAAGCTGAACTCCTTCAATACCTGTAACTCTATTACATGCTCACACCTCCATTCTCTCTATCTTCCATCCCTGAACCCTTCATTCGTAGACCATTTTGTAGTTGCCAATTTGTCTTCCTTCCCTTATGTTACCTAAAATGTATGCAATTTCCAACACCAGATTTCCAATAGTAGAATCAGAGTTTTCAATGGGCAAGGCTTCTTTCTTTAATTTATCTTATAAAAAATTCTCATAACACCAATATAGGCAACTCTACAGTCACCTGCCTATTAACAAAGATCATTATCTGATGCTTAAAGTGAAGAGCTGCTGGGAATAAGATATTCACACTATGCCAAGGAATCACAAAACAGATTACTCAGATACCAAAAAGGAAAACTTACCTTTACAATCAAGGACATACCAGAACTGAGCATCACACAAACAGAGGAACAGCCTGACATGAGGGACCTCCTGATGTGCACAATATGAAGTGCACATCACACCTCAAGAAGCATTCTTGTCAAAGTGTGACTCTAACGCAAATCAAACTTCAGTCTAGACCTAACTTCCAGTTTACAGCAGAGAGGATAGAGAAACAAGCTAAAGGACACCACAAACAAAACTCTATAAGGTAAGACACTACATAGAACAACTGGGTTGGACTCTTCAGACAGTAAATGTTCCCCTCAACACACACACACACAAAGTAAGCTACACTTTCTGTATTGAGACTAGAGAGACAGAACTTGCTTAAATCCTGGTGCAATAAAATAGCTTTAAAAGATATTTTTAGGGATAATGGGTAAGTTTTAAAGAAGTTGTGTTTAGCCGGGCTCGGTGGCTCAGCCTGTAATCCCACGCCTTTGGGAGGCTGAGATGAGCGGATTGCCTGAGCCCACGGGCTCGAGACCCACCTCGGCAGTGAGACCTCATCTCTACAATAAATCAAAAAATCATCCGGGCGTGGTAGCGCATGCCTGTAATTCTGGCTACTCGGAAGGCTGAGGAGGAAGGATCGCCAGAGCCCAGCAGGTTGAGGCTGCGGTGGCCGGGAGCGGCCACTGCACTCCAGTCTGGGCGACAGAGTGAGACTCCAACTCAAAAAAAAATTAATTAATTAAATAAAGAAAGAAAGAAAGAAGTTGTGTTTACTAAATGATAGTATGCCATTATCACTAATTTTTTTTAAGTACTGCAGTTATATAGAAGCATTTTCCTATCTTAGGATAAACATGGAAATATTAAGAGTTGAAGCATTATTACAACTCCAACTTAACTTCATGTAGTTCAGCAAAAAAGTTAAATAAAAGAAATATATGGGAGGGAGCGGTGGCTCATGCCTGTAATCCCAGCACTTTGGGAGGTGGAGGCAAAGAATAACCTCAGCCCACGGGTTTGAAACCAGTCTGGGCAACTTGGCGAGACCTCATCTCTACAATAAATAAAAAAATTAGCTGGGCATGGTGGCACGTGCCTGTAATTCCAGTTACTTGGAAGACTGAGGCGGAAGGATCGCCTGAGCCCAGTAGGTCGAGGCTGCATTGGCCATGAGCGTGCCACTGCACTCCAGCCTGGGTGACAGACTCCAATTCAAAAAAAAAACAATGAAATATATATTGCAAAGGATTACCAATTGTTAATTTAGGTGGAAGGTATCCTACTATTCATAGTCTTTTTTTTTTTTTTTTTTTTTT